AAGAGTTTCATTTATTATTGCTCTGAAGGTGATTTCCAGGGTGTTATCTGAAGAATCATTGATGTTAACTTCGGTTCAGCAACAGTATCTTTAATTGCTAGATTTTTACCATTCATCGATGTTGCAAATATGTTTTATTTATGCGTGTCATTTACCAGATAACTTTCGATATGTGATGGCTGTAAATTCTCTCATTTCTTTCACGTCCTTTGCGTTCTGAGTGGAACTTAAGGCTTCAAGTTTCAGTAGCGGTGGGTGGCGTTTCTAATAAGGGGTGAGGTTTCTGGCCTCACGCCAAATTTTCCCTTTTTACCGGACTTTGTACCAGTTAATTGAGGTGTGTGGTGTGAACATTTTCATAAACGTTTCATTTTTGTTTAAACCAGATTCTATACTGGAATTATAAAACGAATAAAGCCTTTATTGCGGGCCCTCAATATTCTCACTTGATCGGTGGATGTTTGATTAACTCATAAACACTACAATTTATTCGTTTTATTATGGACAAGATATTACGTCCTGAACGCTTTGATGCTGATTCCAATTGCCAAACATCTTCGAAGATTTGGAATCATTGGTTTCGTACATTCAATACTTTTATCACTAAATCTTCAACTCCAGATTCAGACAAACTTGATGTTCTCATCAACTATATCTCACCTACTGTATATGAATACATTGCTGAATGTAAAACATTTGACGGCGCTCTTAGTACTCTTGAGAAACTGTATGTCAAACCAAAGAACGAGATGTTTGCTCGACATCTATTATCCACATGCAAACAAGAAACTGGACAGTGCCTCGACCAATTTTTACAAAAACTGAAATCTCTGGCAAAAGATTGTTCATTCAAACCTGTTTCGGCTGAACAAAATCAGAATGATGCAATACGTGACGCATTCATAAGTGGAATGCAATCTAATAATATACGACAACGTCTTCTGGAAAACAAATAACTTGATCTTGATACTGCTTATGAACAAGCTCGATCCCTAGAAATGGCTTATCAACAATCACATTCGTTTCATCCTTCCGAATTCTCCAATTCTGCTGCAATATCAAACAGTGATACATCAAATGAACTAAACTCTTATATGGGTGAAACAGGATTGACTGCTTCAATAAATGAGAAATGCTACTTCTGTGGATTTACTAGACATCCTCGCTCTAAATGTCCTGCAAGGGATGCAGTATGCAAACTCTGTGGTAAGAAGGGGCATTATCAGAAGGTCTGCCGGTCAAAATCGTACACCAAAACTACATCAATTACTAGTTCTTTGTTGTCTTCCATGACTCTAGCCGCCGCTCCACAGTCTCTCTCCAATGCGGTTGTGCAGCTTTTTGTAAATGACATTCCCCTACAAGCCCTCGTAGATACTGGGAGCTCAGACAGTTATATTTCTTGTGCAGTCGTTCAAAAACAACATATAAAGGTAGAGCATTCTCGCACTTCAATCACAATGGCTTCCACAAGTCTGACAACTCATACTCATGGTCACTGTTATGTAAATCTACGTTATAAAGACTCGAGTTACTCACATATCAAACTTTCAGTGTTGCCAAATCTGTGTGCTGATGTGCTATTAGGTCATGATTTTTTACGCTTGCATAATAAACTCGAAATTCCATTTGAAGGTAAAAACAATCCATTTTCACTGTGTAATCTTGTTGCTGCACATATTGATCCACCTCCCTTGTTTCATAACCTAACACCCAAATGTGTTCCGATCGCTACAAAATCACGAAGACATTCCACTTCAGATGAACATTTCATCAAGCTGGAAATCAAAAATTTACTCAGTGAGCAGATCATCGAGAATTACGACTGACTTTCTCCGCGAGACCAATGATTCGTATGTCCGTGAAGGATGAGCTACCGCTGTTGGCTTCATCTATGTGCATCTACCAATTCACCTGCTCGTGTGGAGCCAGGTGTATCGACTGTACTCAGCGTTCGCTATCCAAATGCGTCAACGAACATTTACCTTCATGGTTTTATAAAGGAGAAAACCGATGCCCCCGCAGCTCGATCCTTGAACATTTGATCGACTCTGGACACCAAGTCAAACCAGAAATAAACTTCAAAGTTATCTACAGAATACAAGGCAATCTTGCTAAAAGTGTACGGATCAAACTTCTCCACATCGCAGAAGCAATGGCAATTCATCTGCTAAATCCTGAACTTTGCATACAAAAGAAATTCGTTCATTCATTAAATCTACAATGGACGTAATCTTTCTTAATTTCAGTCTTACTAATTGTATTATTTTGTCTCTTGCATTTTATTATTTCACATCTTCACTTATATTATTCTCTACCCCACCCTTTTGTAATCTCTACCCTCATTAACAATGTTACTAACTTGACCCACGTCCAATTTCTAGTCAACTGAGTTACGTCATCCGATTAACTTACTTATTTTCAACTGTATTATTCTCTAACCCCACCCTTACTTGATTTTAAACATCACTCATTAACACTGTTTCCAACCTGACCTCATCTGAATTCTACTCACTTAATCAATTCTATTTTATTTTCCATCTTAAAGTTTGTTTCCAAGCCAAAAATTACTTATATTACATAATTATCTAAACTTTATAAATCTAATGTACACACACACAAACAAAATTGTATAAATATGCGATTGTACAGCTAAGTGAATGAATTCGCCGAAAAGAGTCTCTTCGCTGAACGCCTTCTTTTCCAGTATATATGTGGTATAGACATGGAAAGTGGCAACAAAAGGAAGTTGAAGAGATAGAAAGAGAGAAAATATAGATAAGACAAGTTATGAAACTGTATGACTAAAATTGATATGATTATGAGCAATAATTTATGCTCAAAACCTTGTCATCCAGTTGTTAATACTGCATCACTGTGTGATATTTAAAATAAAATAATCTAATATGCAATTAAATTCTACCACAGTGCCCAAGTTCTGCACTTACATTATCGAATTTATTTTTTGAAGTTTACTAAGCATAATTTTATGATCTTTATTTGACTTCTGAATGAAAGATACAATCAATAGTTTTGTATATTAATGGCGGTACATCTTACTACAGTATTTACATGTGAGAATACGTAATCTACAGTTCTTCTGCATTCCTTTGAGTTCCGAGTGGGACATAAGACTTCAAGCTTGAGCTTTGAAGTTTCAGTAGCGGCGATGTTGTTTTTACACAGTTGGGTCGCTATCTTCACTTCCAACCTTCCATCCAAATTAGGCTTATGACTGGCTAAGCGAAGTATAGAAGTGCATCATCCGGAAATTGAATCCGGACCATGTGCGTGGTTAGCAAGCATTATGTCAGTGAATCACTGACACACGATCTGTTGACTAGCAGCTCCGTACTTTAATGCCTATTTATGTAGCATTGTTTAATGGGTTGTATTCAAGTTTAATTAACTAGTTATTGCAAAAGTTTTAAGTATTTATCAAGTTGGTCATTTCACTTTAGTATTCATTTAATTAAGTGTCGATTTATTACGCTGAGTTTTATTTTACTCATTTTTTGATCTTTATTAAGAAAATTTATTTGAAGTTAATACATTCACGTTTGATACTGACAGTCGATTTTACAATCTTTTAAACTTTGGTTTATTAGCTTGAAAGTGTACTATCCGATTTGTTTGCTCTAATGAAATTCTTTTTAGTGGTTTTAGAGCTGCCAAGTTTATCCAAACAGTCCAGCTTCATGTCGGCCTGGATCTATCTTAATATATCAGCTTACTGTTTTTACGTACATGCCTTTTAAAACAAGTGACCATGTTGGCATATTACTTATGTAGAAATAAGATATGATAGAGAAGATTTGTAGCTCAGGTGGATGATTTTGATGTGGTTGTGTTCTCTGAGCTGGATAGTTAATTTGCGAAGCTTTCATCACCCTACTAGGTGACATCTTCAGCGCATACTTCAATTTGAAGTGAGCTTTTAGATTTCTCCACGAATCTAAAATCTAAGAGCCCACTTCAAATTGAAGTATGCGCTGAAGATGTCACCTAGTAGGGTGATGAAAGCTTCGCAAATTAACTATCCAGCTCAGAGAACACAACCACATCAAAATTATGTAGAAATAGAATGTAACCTGATGTTTATGTGAATACTGTCTTGGGTGTGGTGTCTTTCGCCTTAGTGAGGATACGCTAATGTTGGCAGCTGTATTCATCAACGACTGGCAAAGTTCAACAATAGAGTCCCAAGCAATGCGAACGCACAAGATATTCATCAAAGACAGTTTCAACTTTTCAAAGAAAGTTCCTAGAAGACAATTAATTCAGTGTCATTTACCAGTAGGCACAATTATTCGCGCTAGAATAATGGTGGGCTTCCTCAACCAATGACTGGCATGCGTTCAGGGTCATTGGAACATTTCCAATCCTGGGACTCTATTGTTGAACTTCGCCCAACGACTGATGAGATTCATTCCACTTAAAACCAACGTTGTTTTGCATTTCTTTGAGTTCCGAGTGGAGTTTCAGTAACAGTGTTGTTTTTACTAGGTGGAGTTACTATCCTCGTTCTCAACCTTTCCTCTTTTCTGGTCTTACCACTAGCTAGGTGAGGTTTGAGAGTACAAACGTCTTCTGGGAATCGAACCCGGACCATCTAAGCAGTTGGTAAGCATTCACTGATCTATCTGTCACTTAGAGCTAATGCTATATATCGATAGTTACCCTTCAGTTCTTTCTGTGGAGTAGCTCTAAAGTAGTTGTCTAAGTAATACCTTATGAATTTCATATATTCTAATGGAATTTTTTTGTTGAAGAAACCATAACTAAGAACATAATTTACACGTTTAAATTACTATTCCATGTTTTCTCATCTGAATGTGTGTAGTTTACCCTACCTCATAAATTCTAGTCAACAAGTATGTGTGAACTAAAGTACGCGTTATTCTTTGGCATGCACAACCAGTCTTTCACTTTTATTTACTATCATAAAATCCATTTCTTTTCGGTAATTATTACTATGTAAAATTATTAAAATTTTAATTTTGCAGAAAATTCGATGCCTGACACTGAGTTGCTTCAAGTTGACTCAAATAATACAGTCCCAGATGTCTTGGTGCCCGAAACCTTAATTTATCAAGGAGCTGAAGCCAGAGTTTATCGCACTAAATTATTCCGTTCAACATATACTTTTCCATGTATTGTAAAGGAAAGATTTGTTAAACGATATCGCCATAGTACATTGGACTCAACCCTATCTATGCAAAGAATGCGAGCTGAAGTTCGACAATTGTTACGTTGCAGAGAAGCAGGCATAGACGTTCCACCTATACTTCTAGTCGATATTCGGCGTCGTCGAATTTGGCTCGGTGAAATTGGTCCAGATGCTGTTACACTACAAGATTGGTTTAAAACCTTCTCCACTCGGGCTATCGAAACAGACATATCGGCTGGAGATCTTCAGAAAGAGACAGTTTCACAGCTACGGGATTTAACAGCAGCCCTGGGACGATTGCTTGCTCAACTACATTCTAATCACATAATTCATGGTGACTTGACGTTGGCTAATATTCTTATTCAACAGGTAATTTCTGGAGTATTTTTTGTTGCGTTTATTTTGAGATCTGTCGAGTGGATATACAACCGATGAAAAATGTCCTCTAAACCTGTTTTATCCTTTCGGTATATGCACATGTATGTACGCGCGTACTGTTTCTCAGATATTGAAAATGCCTCCCAACAGAATGACAGATTGATATTTGTTACAAGTTTCATCAGGCATTGATATCAGTTCAAAAACCAGATAGTCCTGGACAGTTGTTTTGCCCTAGCGTGAGACTCTTCAGTAGTACGCACTAACTATCCCACCTGAGATCGAACTAGTGACCTTCAAGTTACGCGGTGAAGCTCGTTGATCATCCAGCTACTTAAGCCGGAATTCAATGAAGTGCAAATTTTAGTTTCTGTCAGTTCGTGATTTTAGTGCGAGCGCCAGCCAGTGTTATCGGCGAGTATTTGTCCTCACATCCTGTCTCTGAAGAGTCCCAGGCTAGGAAGAAACAGTTGTCCAGTACTCCCTGGTTTTCAATGGTTTTATAACTGTTATCAGTACGTGATAAAAATTGAAATGAGCCAACCCCTCCCTTGCAAACTTACTCTTGAAGATGAATATTTAACTACATATCTGATACTCATTAAAGGGTACGTCATTCAGTGGAGTTGTATTTCTCTTCTTTTGTTAAACCTTGTAGTAATTTCTAAAAGAAATCGTTTTTCCTCGTCATATTCCCCTGTTTAAAACACATAAAATGTTAGTAAGTACTATATTTTTTCTTTCTAAGCAATTTACAAGCGATACCTCTGGTAATTTTTAGATGGTTCTCTAGTGATAATCATTGAATATCTAACTAGTGTTCTAATTTTCTTCGTTAATTTTGTTTTACTTTATCGCAGAAGGATGTTAACGGTAAACAAATCAGTTTTCGAGTTGTTCCAATCGACTTTGGACTTTCAAGCGCTTCATCTGGCCTGACATCACAACGTTTAGCTGAGGATAAAGCTGTGGATTTGTATGTATTTGAACGAGCATTAACTTGTGGCTTAGATCATAAAGCCTTATTGAAAGCTTTTCCTGATCACCCTGATTTAAATACACCAGATGGCGTGATGAATTTAATTATGGATGCATATCGTGAGAATTACGCTGTACAACAGTTGAATGAAGAATCAGAACCACCACAACAACAAGAACGAGTCAAGTGTAAATCGTCGGTTAATAAAAAATCGGGTGATAATTTGAATCCAAAGAAAGCTGAAGTGAAAGAAGTTCTAAGTAGGCTTGAAGAGGTTCGACAGCGTGGTCGGAAACGTTTGATGGTTGGATGAATTTTTTATTTTTTAAAACATTTAGCTATTTTGGTTATCAATAATTTCTTATGTATATTTTTTGGAATGGAAAATACAATGTTTTTATACATCCACACTGTCTTTAGTATAATTCTTTCGGTGACGGTGATTATTGTAGTTGGTGCCAACACTGATGTATGGAATTACCAAATGAGTGAAGCTTTAGGACAAACGTGTTGTTATCATTTATCCCTTGGGTTCCTAGTGGAACATAGGGCATCAGCAGCACACCTCCATTTCATCCTGTTTTCTGCAGTCCTCTCTTTAGCTAGCTACACAATTTTCCATAAGCTCTAATCTCCTGCTTTCTGCGGAGACCCAACTCCTCACTTCCTATTCGGGTACCACTCGAGGGCCTGGCCTGTGATTTCTCTCAATGTTCTGCTCGGCATACGTCCAATCCACCTTCTTTGTATTTGTCGGTTCGCTCTCATAGTTCCTGGTTGCTCATCCTTTCTGATCGGTTATCTCATCTTCAGTATCTAGGCAGCGAAGGCAACTGCTGTTGAAAGTCTGCAGCAGGCTGTCGAAGATCTTTTTGGTCAGGCATTTGCCAAGTGTCTGAACCGTATAGAAGCAATGAACGGTATGACATTATTGTCTAAATTTCTGATCTTGCACTCAGTGCTGCTGATTTTGGAGTCAGAACGTCTGTCTTGCATTTGCAATCCTGCATTTGACATTCTCATCAGTGCCGCCCGTGTAACAACAGAAGACAAGGGTCAGGCAACAGATCGTTTATTAAGGAAAATCAACACATATTTATAGATTTTAATGTACATTATTGTAGATTATTGTTAGTAGAAAATGCAGTCTTTTGATTGGTTGTTTCTCACAGAAAGTTAACCTTGCATCTCTTTGTGGCTGTGTCAGATCATCCATATGCTAACTGTATCCGCCTGTGCAAAGCCTTTGTTCTCATTTTCTCAACACCAATATTGGGGACATAAACACTGACGTGAATTACTGTCTACCAACTTCGGCTAGCAACCAGCTCTCACCACACCCGTAGATGAAACGCTCGATGCTGTTAAATGATAGAAATGACGTCCTTCACGTTTTTCCCAATGATTGTGATAGTTGTTTGTAGTACGTCGGATATTTTCATCACTTCTGTCTTGTTTGTGTTCACTTGAATTCCTGTGTTGGCTGCATCTTTGGGGAACTTGTTGGTTTTCGCCTGCAGATCTTCAAGTCTGTTTGAAACTAAACATAAATAATCCTTGAAGTTCAGATATTCTAGTGGTAGCTGACTGTCAATATCAACCAAAATTCATTTTTCATTGGTAGTCAATTCGTCAGTGGGGAGAAGCTGATGTATATAACTATGATTTGCCTGAAACGAAATTTAACTGGTTGAAAGATAGAAAGCTTAACTTATCCTAAGTGTATCAACAAAGCCAATGACTTAAAGAGCTTCATTGCAGAATGAAAATCAATCCAATTCATCATGCACCTAGGCGAGATTAGGTTGTAAGGAGGTGACACAAATATATATTTACACTCGCAGTCATGTAACGTCGCTTACCAGTGAGACACTGATGTTGACTTTCAGCGTGACAGTGCTTTTATCCACCAGTAATCCACTTCCGAAAACAATCCAAGGTGGAGATCTATTCTCTAAAATGGAAATATCCTTCACTGCCTTTTTCCTATAGTTGTCATCACAATAAGACTGAAACCACGTGATATATCCTAGTGTTTTTACACATTGCTAAAATGGAAAATATTGGTAGATAGACTCTGGTTAGTTTTAGGCAGTGCTGCATTAAATGCAATAACCTCCAGCTGTAGCGTTTTCGTCACTATAATTTCCTGGAGGGATAAACTAAGGCTAATAGTAACTTAACCGAATCAAGGTGTTATTTCACAAATTAGAAAATTAATTAAACGAAATATATGCTTATTCAAATCTGTCGAAGACGCAAAAGTAGCAGTCACACAGTGGGAATCGTAAAACAACAGTAAAGTAGAGCACTAAAAATAGGAGTTAACCAAAAACAAAGATAAATAATAAGGAAATAAGTGAAAAGGAGATTTACAAATGTTAAGAGGACGATTACGCATGAACGTCGGGGGAACAGGGTAATAATTACAAAATATTCAAATAATTATATCAGTATTGTAAGTCCATTGTTGGGCGAAGGATTTTTAGGTCAGTTATTTTGTTACATTGAGTCTTTAGTAAGTTTTTATCTTCAGTTAATATGCTGAAGGTATTGACAGAACTGTGGTTAAGCGAACTTTGATTAAATGAAGTGATGATTCTAATAGTGAACTACGGACGCACTTTATATCTTTAAGTGTCTTAAAATTGTACTTTCCATGGTTGAATTTTGCTGTCTTTCTAAGCCGGCTTGGTGATTGCCAACAACCTTCCATTTTCTCCCCACATATTCTTTTCGTAGCCATTCTCGAACGCGGGTTCGATATCTCTTGGTGGTGGGGTCGTGGGTTTGCATTGCTGAAAAGTCCCATAGTGGGACGAAACAGTTTCCCGTATCTCTTTAAGTGACGTTGGTTCGTAATGAAAATCTAACAATTGAAGCTAATCTGAATTAACTTAGAAATGTCTCCGTAAATAATTCAACAAGTGCTGGAGTATATTTAAAAAAAGTCGTATGATTTGTTCTAAGTGTACTGACCAAGTGTCTCGATCATAATGCAGAGAATCAATGCATTCTTCTGTATAGTTTCCCAAACTTCTGCTAGTGACACAATATACAGTCCAATGATATCAAAAACAGACTCTGGTGTTTTAGAATCTATAGAACCTTTCAACAATGCCATCAGACATCTATGCAATCCAAGCGTATCTCAAAATTGATCGACCAAGCATAATAACGAACTACCTGAGAATCAAAAGGTATATTTCCAACAAGTTGGGGTAAAAATTTTGTCTGCAAAGAATCAAACAGAATAGAAGACGATCCCCGCATACAATGTACGATGTAACTATGAGTTCAATCAAACAAAATCACAATCGTAAAACAATACATTACTATCAATTATTCTACTACAGATAATAAGTAGTAGAAGTTACTTAGCTACCGGATATATGTAGACAGTCAGCACCTGCTAGGTGCACAAGATCACTTTTCTATACGGCAAAGGCAGTTTTCGGTCAGTATGCTTTTACCATAGTTTGACTGAGAAATTTGTTTGTTTTGTTTTTCTGGTGTAATGCCATGTCAACCTATTGCCTAGACACTTTATCTGTCCTGGAAGAAAATTATGACTTGTATGAAAACGCTCTTAAATTGAAAGCTCTCTGATCTACCACTTGTATTCCTCCCACATTCATTTTTCTCGTGTTCAAATCAACATAATGTTGTTTATATTTTTTCCACTACAAGGTTGACCGAACTGTTTATTATAAATTTATGCAGTGAAGCATTTCATTGTTTTATAAAGACGACAAAACGCCTATCTGATTGAAAATAATAAGTAAATACAGAATTATTTGTTTATTTTGTAATTCCTGTTGACATTTGTTTGTATATTGTATGCCCTTATAATTAGTTTTATGTTTATCTTGATTGCATATAATCAACATAGATACCTATTCACGTAGAAACAAAAGATTTTCAAAAAACTGGGCATCAGACTGATAAATTGTATAATGTCCGGTGGTGGTTCTTTCTTTGGCTTAAGAAAAATGATAGGACTATATATTTTAAGAGTACTAGGCCTAATGCAGTATTAGGCATTCATTCAACAAAATAAAACTTCGAGGTTGATCACGGAGTGATGTCAGTTAGAGAACCGTTGAAAACCAGGGAGTAGTGGAAACTTGTTTCACCCCAGCCTGGGACTCACCGACGGTTCGCACTCGGTCCCCGAATTTTGAATCCAGGACCCTCCACTAATAAGGCGAGCTTGTATACCATTCAGCTACTGTGACCTAATTCAATGGCCAGCCCATGAATTCTAATTTCCACCAATTCGTAATTTAGCGCGACCACCAACCAATGTTGTCGATGGGAACTCCATCCTCACTCCCAACTGGATGGACCTCACTGGTCACGACTTCTCACTAGAAATCCAGGAAACCCCGTCCTGTAGCAAGACACTAGCGAGCGTCAGATTAATTTTCAAGAATTAGTTTGTAGTGATTCGTTAAAATCACGAATTGGTAGAAGTTAGAATCCATGGGTCATTGAATTGGGCTCCAGTAGATGAGTGGTATACGAGCTAACCTCATAACTACAAGGTGTAGGGCTCGAACCCTGAGGTGTGTGTGCTACAGGTAACTGCCAAACTAGGACGAAACGGTCGTCCAGTTCTCCAGAGCTGGTTTTCAATGGTTCTCCGACCGACATCAATCCGTGATCTAAAGTGAAACTTGAAAATAGGTCAAGAGCTTGTCTAAACGGTTACCCTATTTGTGTTGAGTATTTAGTCATGTTTAAACTGATGAATATCTGTATACACTTGTGTACATTTATTTCAAATATAACTAATGATTTTTACTTTATATATAATTTATTGAACATATTTCGAAAACTGTTAATTTAAACAAAGATAAATAAAATTTATTTGATACATTTCAAAATTAATATTCAGTTAACCGAGCATAAAGATATTCTTTTTCCTAATGTCATATATCTCTCCTACTATTAAATATGTCATTATGAATACCGCCCACTAATTTCCTCTTTGTATCTCTCTCCCTCCCATATAGATCACATATAATTTTTGTCTACTTGTCACTAATAGATGAGTTGTTTCAATTCATACTACTTAGTTTACCTGGTAACTAGCATTCACACACACACACAACACTCCTCAAAAATGAAGTTTTAATTACCTTTTGGTTACTGTTATTGATTACATAAGACAAGAATGACAGAGAAGGTAACGGGAGTTGGAAAGGTGGAGATATACCTACATATAATTACTATAGTAACTAAACTCAAATTAATTTATCAGCGATCATCTTGTTTCAGTTTACTCAATGCAGTTATTTATTGGACACAAGTGAATACCATTAGTTATGTTATTAAAGGTTCATTTTCAAATTCTTGTTCTGCTAATTCTTCCTAAATTAATAATAATGTTTTTACGAGTTGAT